AACAGTATAGTAGTAACAATAATAAGCTGAAGTTTCATTAATAGTACACGGTATTTAAACCATAAAGAGTAAAGATCCACCATACCCTTGGTCCAGCAAAACTACCAGGATGAGTATATACAACTAATCTATCCTTCTTGGGATCAATCTAATAATAATAACAAAAATACTAATGATAATACATTAAGTTTACCTTATTATCATGTAACCATTTATTAATAGTTGATGGAGATGGTAACATATGTGGTAATGATGATAAATGCTCATTGGATGTATCACGTATAGTATCAATATCGAATCGTATAGCTCCAGGAATCCTTCTCATCTTATAATCATCATCAGCATTCCTATTAGGATTATTCAAATACCAACTAGCATCCACATATCTATCCCTCTTAATGTTATTACTACTACTAGTAGTAGCAATACCACTCATAGACTTGTTGTATTTAATTGCTGACTTAACTGCATCCGTAGCTGTAATGATGATAGAGGACATAGTAGACATGATGATAGGACAGTATAATAACACCAAATGCTTCTTCAAGAGGGGGAGATACTTATTCTCCCGTCTTAGAAAACGCAACAACTCTGTAATCCACTACGAAGTGGAGTGCTTCTGATCACCATCTATGTCGGTCACACAATGGTAGACTGCGGGTAGCCGCGAGGCAAGCGTAAAGCAATACCAAGACGGCTTAAGTGCCCAAGATGATGGCGTATCTTCGCAACGGGCGCAAACAAACCGTGTCACTAAACTTTGTGTCCTAAATCACCAAATTAGGCGCGCGCGCCCCTGTGATCGGTTTATGCGCGCCTAAGGTTAAGAAAAAGAACATCCTTCACGGTGTTAGTACTCTCTCACTCAAAGTCGTCATCATAAAGGGTTTTAACAAAGATGTAAGCAATTCCGACATCTTGGACTCTCTTGCGTCCTTACAATGTCTCAGCTATTGCATGACATGCACAACAATTCATCATTACATGTGATTACAACATCATCTTCCTCCCCCTGCGGGTGCGGCCAGTTCTAGAGCGGGTACCATCGATGGCTCTTAGGAACTGCTGCTCCCGATCTCTTACATCATCTTCTGCATCTTCGTCAATAGACTCATTACGTGTTGTGTTGAGCCTACTCAAATCTTGGGTGTCTTCTATACCTTTCCGTCTGGTTAGATCATCGTCGGCGTTCATATTCTCGTGGTCGTCGTTTCCTAGATCGTCTTCGTTCTCGTTGTCGCTCTTCACACTTGTGTCTTCTACTCGGTACAAGTTTGTGTGATGGACTACTGGCATCTTAGCTTCGCCGTAGCGCTTTAGAGCATCGCTAGACTCGTCAATCGGTGCTAGTCTGAAGCACTGCTTACCAACCTTCTCAATCACTTGATAAGTCTTCTCGTTTGTCAAAGGACTGAGCTTCTTCTTACGTGGCTTCAGCCATAGGACTCTATCTCCGACTTGCAACCTCTTCTTCTTCAGCCCTTTGTTTTTTCGACCCTCCATATGCTTAAAGGACTGCTGTCGACGTTCTAACCAAGCTTCTTGGAAGATCGACAAGAGTCCTCTTCGGTTCTCGGCCCGATGCTTAGCCTCTTCAACTACCTGTGTCGTATGGAGGGGGTCTTCTACGATGCTCTTCGGTCTGAGGTCTTCCCAGTCAGTACGCACATCGGTGACTTTAAGCAACTTCTGCACTGGTAACATCGGCTCCCACCCATAAATCAAAGTGTGAGGGCATGGCCGTGTCCCTCCACTGTCGGTGGAATTGATGGTTGCCTGTGCCAACGCCAACATGGTACTCCAACTTGCTTTGGGGCATTCAATTAACGTCGTCCTCAGCGTCTTCGTCAGCGTCTTGTGCTGGATCTCGTAGAATCCTCCGACGGCAGGAGTTCGGACTGGAAGAAGGCGATGTGCTATTTGGCCAAGTACACAGACGGCTGAGAAGGCAGGTGAGCGTGCAAACTGTACTCCTTGGTCGGACCATATCTCCTTAGTGTTAGCTTGGAGCTCCCAAAGAAGGATCCGCTCGACTTCCTCGGCAACTGTTCTTGACCTCGCATCTGGTAGGAGTCTGAATATGGTGTAACCTGTTAATCTATCTACGATGGTTAGAACATGTGGCAGTCTTCCTTCTGTCTCGCTTGTCGTGGACTTCGGACGCCGTAAGGGACCATACAAGTCGACACCCACTACTTGGAATGCGTATTCAGGTAGCGGTATGGGTCCTGCAGATTGCCATATGTTAGATGCCTTCGTCGCGGTGTGTAAGCATGCTCTGCAATGGACCACGGCTTCCCGTACAATCTGACGAATACGTGGACACCATGCGATTTGGACAACTTTACGGAAGGTTGACGGATATGATCGATGACCAAGTTGAGAATGGACCACTTCTGCCAGTTGACCAACCACCTTCCTCGGTAAGACAAGTTGTACTATGCTGTCACGACCACCTGTTTTTGCTGCTGTCAGGCCCTTGATTATCTCTCTGACAAGTATACCTTCGTCGTTGATCCTCATACCATAAGTGTAGCCAGAGTGATTGCTCGCTTGCTCGTCTGCCTTCAGCTTATTGATACCTTCTCTTACCTCTTGGTCGTTATTCTGCTCGGCTCGTATCCATCTTATGAGTATATCATGTCCACCATGCCCAGCTGGTTCTACATCGCTCTTATATGCAGCCCTCCATGCTAGCATGATCTTCAATTTCGTAGTGTATTCTTGAAGTGCTGGTAATGTCGTCATGACCTCGCGCATCGCTGTTCCAGCAGCCTGTGCCCCAATGATCATTGCCACTTGTTGTGTTGGGTCGTCGGTCTTGCGTGTCGTCGTCCATATTCGTGAGAGAGCGTCTGCTCGGACATTCATAGACCCTGGGGAATGTTCCACTTTCACAGTTATTCCTCTCAGCTTCCACTCGTATGAGATCTCAGTAATAGCAGCTCGTAATCTGAGTAAGGCCTTATGTTCAACTGATTTCTTACCGATCTGTCCCCAGACGTCGCATTGCGCTGATGCAACTCGGGAATCAGTTATTATGAGCACTTCTTTCAGATCTGGAAGCAGAGGTATCAAGTGGTCGACCTGTCGTACGGCGTTCGCGATGGCTAACAGCTCTCTTCGATTAACGTGCCACGTCTCACTCTTAGTACTGAAGAATCTAGCCTCGGCATATATGATATTATCAGAGTTGTCTTGTATCTCAGCATCCTCTGGCCCTCCAATGGCGCAGAAGCCATGCCCTTCTTGCGACGCGTCGACTTCCACTCGCAGCTTCTCGACATGCTGGTACGAAATCAATCGCTGATCGCTCGGGCTACATCGATCCCAATGCAATTTCGCCAACTTGAAATGTTCACGTACACGATGTACCGTTGCCTTGTCTTCAGGCGGTATGTCCCAATCCTTCCATGCACCCGCTAATTTTCGCATGGCGTCAGCGTGGCCGATTGCTAGAGCTTCCTCATAACCATGCGTGAGGCGTAGAAATGACCCTGCTGCTTTGTAGACTTCCCGTTTAGTTATCGGAGTCTGCATCTCAGTTGCAGGAGCAGGGCGCTTCATCGCGAGACCTGTAGCTTGGGCGAACTTCCAGTAACAACCTAACCAGCGCGTAGGAGTGCTCGATGACCAGATACTTCTCTTGTCAGGTGGACATGAGAAGCCACAGAGATTCCACAGCAGCTCCATGACTATCTCACTGTCAACAACATCCTGACGATTGCCCACGGCTATGTAGTCGTCCATGACACAAATCCATCGTGCCGCGTCGTCTCCCAAAGCGCTGGAGATCTTCTCAGCGCACTTGAGTAACGTAAGTTGACTGAAGTTGAGCCCTAGTGGACCGCAGCTCAGGCCAAAGACTAAGCAGCTGCTGGAGAACCATTTCATCCCTGCCTTCAGCCAGATCTCAAGGGGGTGACCGTCTTCATCTACTGGGAGAACACGTATTGAGTAGAACGCCTTCGCCAAATCATATTGACGAATTTCTTGTGATAGGTTCCGATCATCGACCATCGCACGCAGCTGCTGGATTGCTTCGGGCACCGAAGAGGGACCAACACTCGTTTTTTCGCGGTACTTCAGTGGAGGTGAGACCCCGTTGATTCTACGTAGATCAACGCAGGGGCGTATTTTTGTCGTCTTAGCTTCGGATTGTATCACCGGGAACACTGTTGCAGCCATTCTCATTTGGTCTTGGTCAGGTGGTCGTAACTGTGGCTTCCACCAACCCTTCTTGATGTAACCGTCCAGCTGATTATCCCACTCTTCTTTTTGAGTGGGTGTTAGGGACTGGATCATCTTTGTACTTGACCATGGATACGTAGCATTCTCGTTCGTCGCCGGTGTCACCGTCCACCTTACTTGATACTGGTATTTCTGGCTTTCAGTATCTGTTCCCATGATTTGGTCGCCCTTGGCCAGTCGACCCTTAAAGCCGTTGCCGATCTCTACCCAACCTTGGGCTGCTATTGCATCAAGGCAGAGAGTAGCTTTCTTCATCATCTTGCCTTTCGCATCTCTGCCTCTCAGGCTGGTTTGACGGACTCCTTTCGGCATGGCCTTTTCGAGTAGTTTCTCGACCCACCCCCCTGGCAGAGGGTGCGAAGTAAGGAGATCACTTTCTTTAGCATCACTGTATTCCTCCTCAGGCGTCGATACGAGCAGCTCGCCATTTACCCGGCATACCTCCACGTGGATTGCGGGCACCACTGACTCGGCAGTTAAATTGCTTCTTCTCGACGAAGGATGTCTGTCTTCATCCTCGCTGAGGAACGTACGTCGAAGCTCTGATTGTTCGCTGCATGGATCAGTCTCATGGAACTTCAGGTTCACGTCCAGGATACACAGTGCTCGTCGGCCGAAGATGACTCGGGGTAGCGGGCAGTCGACTATGACAAAGGGGATGTAGGCGAGTTTGTCAGAGTGCTCTCTTAGTCTCACTGGGACAATAGCTTCTTCCTTGCTCAGGGCCGTACTGCCATCGGCGTAAATAAGCTTGATCGCTCTCGGAGTGGCCAATACTTTCACACCTCCTAATTTCTTCAAGTCTTCGACAATCTGCCTTGGTATCAGTGAGCATGCTGCTCCACTGTCTAATAATACCTCTTGTACGCAGATACCAGTATCTCCTAGATCACACTTCAGCAATGGAGGGGAATCTCGTTCTCCGATCGAGTGGATCTTCATCGTCCCGGGGGTCTCCTGTGCCACTGCAGCTGCGATGTGGACCTCGACAAGGCCTTGTGAAGCAGTAGGTCCTTGCGAGGTTTCCTTCTTCCCTTCTTGAGTTGCTTGATTGGACTGAACCGCTTTCGCACCGTTTTGGCTTCGAGAATCGCCTTTCTGGCAGTTCTTCGCTAAATGTCCCTTCTTATTGCATCTCCGGCAACGGACGTCTCTGCATGCTGCCATAGCATGTCCTGTTCGTCCACAGTTGCTGCACTTGACGTCAGCAGGGACTTGGCAGTCAGCCTTCAAATGCACTAAGCTGCCGCACCGATGACAGGCTCTTATCTTCTGAGCTTCACCGCGCTGTGACGTTTGACTTGGCTCATAGACACCCTTCAGTCCTCGAGCTCTATCAGGTGCCCTGTCATACTGTGTCTCCTTCTCTTGAAGCTCGGTCACTCTGAAATAGTCGGCGGTATCGGCCAAGTCGTCCGCACTGGTGGAGTGTAATCTTGGACCATAGAACCCCTCTAGCCTCCTCTTCAACCAACGCGGTAAGCCAAAGATTAGTCTCTGCCTATATTCGGCGGCGGTAACTGTATGGTCTTGGTTGACAGCAAGGCCGCGCTCCTTGACCCTGCCGAGGAAGCCAACAGCGGTCTCATCCGTTTTCATGGTCATTGTCTCGAAGCGGTGGACAGTCCTACCCATCGACCAGCTCCTGGAGTAGTGAGCTTGCATCGTGGTCAGTAGAACTTCGACTGGCGAAGGACTGACCTGGGTTATATCTATCGAAGTCATACACTGCTGAGCGTACAGTAGCTCAGCGCCCTCAAGGCACTTCATAGCATAGCAGCAAGCTTGGAGTCCTCTGAGTCTATAAGACGATACAGCCGTCTGGACCCTGGACTTCCACTCCTCAAAGGTGAGCTCGAGATCTTCGGCTTTTGCCACCGACCATGGGCATCCAGAGGGTAAGGGCAGATGTTGTACTCCCAGGCCTTGGCTCGCCCCGCTTACGGTCGCAGGAATTCCAGTTCGGGCGGCTTCATCTCCCTTGGTGTACTCGATGAGGCACTCGGTCAATCCACGGACTACTCCTCGACCACTCGGTATGGGGGGATCGACTAACATGTTGTACTCTTGAATTATCTTGACGGCGAGGGCCAGGGCCAGGGCGGGTCGCCCGCGCTCTTCATCCCCGAACCCAACTTCTCCAAGAACCCACTGTACTCTAACATATGCGGTATATATGGCAGCTTCGATATCTTGCTCTGTATCCTCAGCAGTACACTTGAGTCCTTCGACTTTCTCTCTCCTAAGGGCCGTCGTGAGCTCGCGGGAAGTCCTTATGATTTCGCTCAATGTTCGATCAACTTGCGACCGATTTTCGAGCTGGGGCTTCTTCTCAAGGATCCAATCAGAGAGTGCTTGAGTTCTTTGGCGGAACGTAGACGACGGAGGGGAGAGTAGCGTCATCGGGGTAGAGTCCCACCGAGATCGCCATGATGTTAGTACTCTCTCACTCAAAGTCGTCATCATAAGGGGTTTTAACACAGATGTAAGCAATTCCGACATCTTGGACTCTCTTGCGTCCTCACAATGTCTCAGCTATTGCATGACATGCACAACAATTCATCAT